TAAATCGAACGCTACGTTTTCCTGTGTGTGTTTTGAAGGTACACAGCTTCCTCTCCTTTCTTTTCAAGCAAATGAAACACACCGCCATGCAATTTCTTTATAAAACGCTATTGTTGAAACGTCTAAATTGATTTTTGCGGAATAAAAAATCTCTTTCTTTGACAAGTTAACCTGTATTCTACTAATTGTTGTTTTGTTTTTCATTAAAGGCGGGCGAAACTCCTCTTCTTTTGGCAGTGGAAAGTGGAAACAAGCTTGTCGTTCGAGAATTATTGGACAGCAAAGCAAAGGAACAATTAAAGATTGTTAAAAAAGTATCCAATCATTTTTTTATTATTATTTGTTTTTAATTTATTCAATGTTTATTTTCATGGTTTTTTTCAGGATTCTGGTGATTCAGCATTGCATTGTTGTGCACAGAAAAGAAACGTGGATGTTGCAAGAATATTATTGGACTCTGGCTCTGCCGTAAATCTAAAAAATGTAAGGTGCTTGAGACGACTTTTCAAAGATCAGATCGCATAGTTTAATCTCGCGTGTCTTTAATGACGAATCTTAGTCGATTCTGATTAGTTGGAAAGCTGTGTGTTGTAGGAAATGTAGCCTCAAATACTATGTACTACCCAAAGAAGTCAGCCGCTGTCCAATAATAGAACCGTGTTACTTCATGTAACTTGTACTGAAATAGTGTTTTAGGATTTTTTATATGGTGGATGGGGGAGGGCTTTAAATAGGGATGTGGATTATTGAATAAATCTTCATTTCATTGGAAATCAATATTTTAACATCTTAAAAATAGATTTACCACTTCAGTCTTAACTTTTCGTAAATTTTTCATTAACCCAAGTCAGCCAGTTAAAACTCAGAAGTGGTAAGGGATATAACTAATGGAATAAACTAAGCTCTGTGAAAATTTAAATTTATCTTTCTTTCCTATAAATATTTTATTTCTTAGTAAATTTTGTAATTGTTTTTGAACAAAAGCACGCCCCTCTTGGAAATCAACCCCAGTTGACAAGGCCAGCGTGTCAAAATAAAGATTTTCATTCATTCATTCATTCATTCATTTATAATGTTTTTTACTGTTTTCCATCTTCCAGAATGATGGTCAAACGGCATTACATATTGCTGCGTACGAAGGACAGGAAGCAATGATAAAATTATTATGCTCATCTAACAAAATGTTTGCAGATATACAAGACAAGGTAGAGTATGCAATGATTTTGCTAAAATCTACATTGTTCTCAATTGATAGCGGTATTCGTTTGTTGGTAAAATGGTTTCCTGTTCAACTTACTGAGGGGATGATTATTTTCAGTATTTTTTCCACTGTGTGACTTCATAGCTCAGTTGGTCAGAGCACTGTACCGGCACCCCAGAGGTCACGGGTTCGAATCCCGTTGAGTCACCTGAATTTTTCAGGTTCATGAGACAATTGCTTAAATTGTCCAGCAAAGTGCGAAGTTCATATCTTCATTCAATTTCAAACACCGCACTGCATAAAACAATCTTTAGTATTTTTTCCATAACTTTAAACCATGTTTTGAAATGTAAGGAATACGATGGAAGTATTAATTCAAAACATCTCCTCTACTTAGAATCATCTTATTCTCTACTTAGAATCATCTGATTCCCTCACTTAGAATGATCTGATTCCTCTACTTAGAATCATCTGACTCTCTAGTTACAATCATCTGATTCCTCTACTTAGAATCATGACACTCTCCTTAGAATCATGTGATTCCTCTACTTAGAATCATCTCATTCCTCTACTTAGAAATCATGTGACTCTCTACTTAGAATCATCTTATTCTCTACTTAGAATCATCTGATTCCTCTACTTAGAATGATCTGATTCCTCTACTTAGAATCATCTGACTCTAGTTACAATCATCTGATTCCTCTACTTAGAATCATCTGACTCTCTACTTAGAATCATGTGATTCTTCTCTACTTAGAATCATTTGATTCTCTACTTAGAATGATGACTCCTCTGCTTAGAATCATCTGACTCCTCTACTTAGAATGATCTGATTCTCTACTAGAATCATCTGACTCTCTAGTTACAATCATCTGATTCCTCTACTTAGAATCATCTGACTCCTCTACTTAGAATCATCTGATTCCTCTACTTAGAATCATTTGATTCCTCTACTTAGAATGATGTGACTCCTCTGCTTAGAATCATCTGACTCCTCTACTTAGAATGATCTGATTCCTCTACTTAGAATCATCTGACTCCTCTACTTAGAATCATCTGACCTCTACTTAGAATCATCTGACTCCTCTACTTAGAATCATCTGACTCCTCTACTTAGAATCATGACTCTACTTAGAATCATCTGACTCCTCTACTTAGAATCATGTGACTCCTCTACTTAGAATGATCTGATTCCTCTACTTAGAATCATCTGATTCCTCTACTTAGAATCATCTGACTCCTCTACTTAGAATGATGTGACTCCTCTGCTTAGAATCATCTGATTCCTCTACTTAGAATCATCTCATTCCTCTACTTAGAATCATCTGACTCCTCTACTTAGAATCATCTTATTCCTCTACTTAGAATCATCTGATTCCTCTCTACTTAGAATGATCTGATTCTCTACTTAGAATCATCTGACTCCTCTAGTTACAATCATCTGATTCCTCTACTTAGAATCATCTGACTCCTCTACTTAGAATCATGTGATTCCTCTACTTAGAATCATCTCATTCCTCTACTTAGAATCATGTGACTCCTCTACTTAGAATCATCTTATTCCTCTACTTAGAATCATCTGATTCCTCTACTTAGAATGATCTGATTCCTCTACTTAGAATCATCTGACTCCTCTAGTTACAATCATCTGATTCCTCTACTTAGAATCATCTGACTCCTCTACTTAGAATCATGTGATTCCTCTACTTAGAATCATCTGATTCCTCTACTTAGAATCATGTGACTCCTCTACTTAGAATCATCTGACTCCTCTACTTAGAATCATGTGACTCCTCTACTTAGAGTCATCTGATTCCTCTACTTAGAATCATGTGACTCCTCTACTTAGAGTCATCTGACTCCTCTACTTAGAATCATCTGACTCCTCTACTTAGAATCATCTGACTCCTCTACTTAGAATCATCTTATTCCTCTACTTAGAATCATCTGATTCCTCTACTTAGAATGATCTGATTCCTCTACTTAGAATCATCTGACTCCTCTAGTTACAATCATCTGATTCCTCTACTTAGAATCATGTGACTCCTCTACTTAGAATCATCTGACTCCTCTACTTAGAATCATGTGACTCTACTTAGAGTCATCTGACTCCTCTACTTAGAATCATCTGACTCCTCTACTTAGAATCATCTGACTCCTCTACTTAGAATCATCTGACTCCTCTACTTAGAATCATGTGACTCCTCTACTTAGAATCATCTGACTCCTCTACTTAGAATCATCTGACTCCTCTAAGTAGTAATATACATGGGGGTACGAGAGCACAAAGTGCTCTCATATCCCCCATGTATATTACTACTTATTAACCGTGGGTAAAAACTTTCTTTATAACAGCGTAAAATAAGACCATGGTTCAAAAGGCGTCCCTCATTAAAAGGTCATTTAAAAAAGCTGCGTAAAAAAAAGTCATTGTTTCAAAGGGGGTAAAAACTATCTTTATAACAGCGCAAACTAAGACCATGGTTTAAAGACGTCCCTCTGGCAAAAGGTCATGTAAAAAAAGCTACGTAAAAAATAGTCATTTTTCAAAGGGGGGTAAAAATCTCGAGGTTACAATCTATCGTTTAAAAATATGGAATCTATATGTTTTTGAAATATATAGGTGCGTTTAAATTTTACAAACGGTATTTACAAACAAATGTTAAGAAAGCATCGTTTCGGAGAGCATCCGGCAGCGCAGATTTTAGCTACGCTAAAATTGAGCAGGGGAATGGGATGCTCGAGAATTCTGGAACCCTGGTGGGGAAAATTTTTCACGAAGTGAAAAATTCGGGGTTCCCCCGTACATTCGATGAATATTCTTCGAATATTCGAGAATAACAGAGGCTTAAAAAATGCTCTTCAAAAAACCGTCTTTAATAATCAAGTTTTAATAATCAAGTGTTAATAATCAAGTGTTATTAAAATATCAGTATCAGCGATAGCTGGTTTTGTAGCGGCGCGCGTGTCTTAGTGCATGTTTTTAACAATGGTTGTTTAATGTAATCAGCACATTTCATCAGCGCATGTATAATAATACAATGTTTTACAAAATATGGAATCTATATGTTTTTTTAATTTGTCTGTCAAGCGACTGTTATATGTACATGTTTAACAATGTTTCATATAATTTTTGTTAAAAGTGTTTTTAATAATTGTTTCAGGATTTTGAATCTTTTTGTACATCGCTTTTGTATTAATTACTTGTTACAAACAGTTATGTGATATGTAGTCAAACATGAGGATTATTCTTCATCTTCAGTTTTAGCTTGATAGTTATCTTTAATAAATTTTTTTAATTTTTCGATTTCATCATTTACAAATTTTTTAGTTGATAGAATATTATCTTCTATAGTAGCCCCGAAATTTTGTGAAAAACCATTAGATGTCATAGATAATGTAGATTGATGTTGTGAATAAACTTGAATTTTGGTTAATCCATTAAATGCTGCCAGCCATTTTCTTGTCCATTCATTATAACCTAGTGAAGCTGAAGATTTTTTTGGTTCAATAACGACATATATATAGTTTAAATCATCGTCAGCACAGTATATGTAATATAAATCTAGTAATGCATTAACTATCTTTTTTTCATTATCATTTGTTAGTTTAATGATAAATTTTTTTTTAATCTTATCTGCCATCATATCTAATTCAATTGTTTTAGAGTTATCAGACGGATTTATTAATAAAAGTGTAAATTCAATAAATTTAACATTATTAAAATAAATTCTGATAGTATCTTGTCGGCTATTAAAATTTTTATAATTTAATTGATTGCTATGGTGTACTACTTTACCATTTACTCTGCTATCAATCTCATTCTTTGTATAATAGTCATTAAATTTACTATCAGCTTGTGTTTTAGTATAATAGTTAGTTAAATTAGAAATCAAAACATACTTGGAATTTGATTCATTTTTTGTATAGAATTTGGATAAATCATAAGACAAAGCATACTTGGAATTTGATTCATTTTTTGTAAAATAGTCATTAAATTTATTATCAACTTGAGTTTTATTATAGTGGTCATTAAATTTATTATTAACTTGTGTTTTAGTAAAGTGGTCATTAAATTTATTATCAACTTGAGTTTTATTATAGTAGTGGTCATTAAATTTATTATCAACTTGAGTTTTATTATAGTGGTCATTAAATTTATTATTAACTTGTGTTTTAGTATAATAATTATCTGATAGATGTGTTTTATCTACAGATCCTTGTATATTTACATTAATATCTGTTTTATTATGCCCATAAAATAAGCTCATTTATATTATTCCTCAGATTTTATATCCGGTTTATTATTTTTATGTTCGTAAACATGTCTAGCTGTTATTATAATACCACTCAAGACACCTAAAAAAGGTAACATTGGTGATATTTTTTCTACTAAACTGTACACATCTCGTTTTAAAAGGTCGTCTGATTTAAGCTGTTTTGTTAATTCTTTAGGATCTTCAATAGCATCAAACCCTTTTAATATATCTGAAAATTTTGATATAACTAAATCAGTTAAAAACTCATTAGCTTTTTGTAATCGTTTTTTCTCGTATTCAGTGTATAATTTATCAATAATTTTTTGACTAGCTTTTTTAATGTAAGCAACTGACTTGTCTAAATCACCATCTTCAGCTAGTTTAAGTAGTTGATCTCTTTTATTAAAACCCTCTTTCGGTTTATCTTGTATATTATCATCACATACAGCATCTTTGATAGTATCATTTGCGGAATCAATCTCATTAATTAGATCATCAATTGTTTCAGGTTCTTTACGCTTTGGCATATATATATAACACATGTTTTATTGCGGAATAACAATTTTCCATTGGTATGGGTATACAAGTTCGATTTCTAAATGTGCATACTTATTATTTTTCAATTTTTTGGTTATTTCTTCTATATCATCTTTTTCAACACCATAAAGATAATCATCAAATATGGTTTTCATATCATTGCGGTTTGTATTATAAAATGTAACTAAATAACTTATATTTTCGCGATAAGGTTTGGCAATACTGTTCAATTGCTGGGTAATCACAATCACAGAAAGCCCATAATGGCGAGCACTGAACCCTAGTTTTATTAATTGCGATGTCCTATTTTTAACATCTAAGCAACTTGCACAGTCATCAAGAATAATAAGACTATTGGTCCCTTTATATACATCACTAACATATTTTAAAACAATATCTATCTGATCTTGGTCACATTCTACTTTAATTAAATCAGAATCATTTATATATTTCCATTCTTGATAGGTTTTATTATAAGATAGTGTGGGGCAAATTAGAATAATATAATCAAAATGTGTATTAAAGTTTTTTCCTATCAATTTGAGAAGGTAATGACTCTTACCACAGTTCGTCATGCCTACAATAATCATATTAAAGGGTGTGTTCATTTATATATTACTGGTTATTCTAGTATTGAATACTTTGTAAATCATTATTAACAAATTGAACAAGAGCATCACTAATAACATAGATGTAACAGTTTAAATCTTTTGTATATGCTCTTTTTTTAATTTCAAGCAAAACGCCATTTTGAGTATTAATGATTTTTTTACCGTTACCAGCAATATTTTTTTCTTGAAAGGTGCGTAAATCGATAACTAATGCAAATTTATCCTTATAAAATTTTTCAATTGTCATGAAGCATCTATCGGATAGTTCTATCAAAAAATTTTCTTGCTTCTTCATAAAATTGTTTTTTATTCATACCTTGGGCGAAAATACAATTTGGCACACCCTCTATTGTCACGGAAATTTTATCGATTAATGGAAATTCAAATTTTTCACTATCACTAACTGAATTTTCTGTAAATAGTAGTACAATGCCTTTCATACTTTTACGAGGCACATTTTATACATATTCTGTAATGTACTCGACTTATCCCATTTTTCCTTTTTTAAGAGGGTTATATGTTCATAAAATAGGCTTCTTCCTATAGAATATAAATTTGTCACCTCATTCGCAATTTCTTGGTTTTCAATAGTTTCATATTCAAGCTGAATATTTTCTAATTCATAATCACCGATAGTTTGGCCACTTTGTGCGATAAGGACTTGATCACTCGGTGGCAATGTTATTATGTATTGAAAGTTCATATTGAAAGGGCAATACAGACCATGGTCTTTAAGAATATTATCAATATTAATTTTTGCCTTGTACCATAAATATCATACATTAATTTGTCTACACTTTTTCTGAATCTCCACTTGTTGCAGCACTATCATCCTTTGAAATAAGTTTTCTTAGATTTTGCTACATATGCCATATTCAATAAGACCTTGTCTATCACTTTAGTAACCACAAGTCTTTGTATACACTTATAACATTATGTTCACTACAATCGTAAAGGGTTTCCCAGCCACTTTAATTTGTAGTCTATGTTGTAAAATCTGACTGAGATTATTTATAAAGTGACTTTTGTATTACTGATTTTAAGATCAAACGATAGATTAAGTGAACCAGGCACTAAGCAACTATTTGCTTTTAATTTCGGAATAATATAAACTTGTTCATTCGGTTTAAGACTATTAGGGTTAAAGTTATACTATAAAAAGTATGATTACCTTTTAATTTTGTCATAGAAGTCTTTTATAACCAGGTAAAAGCTCTTCTGTAATCTGTTCATATATATTAAAACATATTTTATTTTTTCTTTGTTTATACTGATCATATATTAACAAAGCAGCAGCAATAGCTAAACCCATAGATTAGAAGCTAAACCATGCTAAACCTTTAGCTCCCCAAGATATAGCCTGATAATATTCAATAATGGTCCTAACACTGGCCATAATTTTACCTATATTTGCTAAAGCCTTAGAAAATTTACTAGCTTGAGCACCTTGTATGATTGCTTTCTTGCAGCAATGACAATGGTTGTAATTACCCAGCCATAGATATAGCTAAAGCTGATAATCCTGGGATATTTTTTAACCCATTTTTAAACTTCACAATCTAGTAATGTCTCTTCTTGTTTATCTGTACATCCTCTTTCTCTAATTGTTTCTTCTCTAATTATAATTTCTAATTCCGCAGCTCTTTCATGCAAATTAGTTAATTCATCAATATTGTTGTCAATACCCATTTTCATTTTCTATTTCATCTATTCTAGCTACAGTTTTGTTTAACTCTTCAGCAAAGTGATTTATTTGTGCTTTATGAATGTTGTGGGTGTGTTCTTTTATCAATAGTTCCAGAGGGGTCATTACACCTATATGTTCTCTAAGTTCTTCATTAGTTATTTGATTGAAATTTTCTGTATATTGATTATTTAAATCAACCATAGGCATTACTCTCTCTAGTTTTTATAAATTCCTTCTTGTAAATTAATAATTTTTTAATTTCGCTTTTAAATTGTTTAACAGCTTCTTTAGCACTTTCCGATTTATTGTATTGTAATATGCCATTACTTATTATTGTTAAAACAATTATTTATCACCTCGCTCATTTTATTTAATGGTTTGTATGTAATATTATTTGTTGAATCAGTTTTACCTAAATTTAATCTAAACATAATAGTTTAATTATATGCAAACCTTTTAAATTATTAAATTTAACCTTTTCTATAATTTTTGTAATAAAATCTTTCAACAGAAAATAAGTATTGTTTCTAGGTTCAATAATATTTTATAAACAGGAGGAAGTAGGAAACATCTGAAGAGTATTAGTTTTATTTGTCCTTTTTCACATACACCAAAATTATCATCAGTAAAATGACAGTTTCAGAATATCTATTATTTTCTTTGCTTATTATTCATAATAATAACAAAATTTTGCCAATCATCGTTATTATCTTCTTGCTTATTATCTTCTAATTCTATAATCAAAACCCTTTCAGCCATTTATAGATTACTCTATATTTTATATTTCACTCTTCAGGAATCCAAACTGTTATGTTTATTATCATAACCCAACCATTTAATCAAAACCATCTTTTTTACCTTTAACCTT